ATAGACGAAGCGACTATCAAAAACTAGCTGAGAGTGTTAGTGTTTTTTTTTTGTTGAAGTGAATAGTATCTATTAGTTTGAATTGACAGTGTTTTTATACATCGTTTCGGGTGACGTGCCTGCAAGGTTTTTTTTTTTTTTTCTATCTCTTCAAAAAATCGAGACGATGACATGCATGAATAGCTATCAAATGTTTTCGATTGATGCAGTGTGTTACTTCCATGTGACATCGTTTATTTTTTATGACTTCTAGCGTCATATGAAGGCGATTTCGAATGATTTAATGTGCAATAACCTTGCAAAAGTAGGAAGAAAAAAATATCGTAGAAAAATATAACAAAATTTGCCATTACACAGAATAAATTTATATACAAAAATAATGAAGATAATATATTGAAAAATTTATTTAACAAAATCTACTTGCAGCAGTACGAATCACTTGGGAATGTTTCCTCGTTAGTAGAAAACAAGGATACTTTTAATAGGAATATCCATAGGAAGTTTATTTTTTAAAAAACTCTAGTTAAATATAATTATTCAATCTGATTTTTTCCTATTAATAAACTAAGAGTAATATATGTTACGAGCTTAGCTAATGTGAAGGTGTTTGAAAAGAATTTCTGTACATCTCTTGATCAAAATACATTTGTAGAAAAGGAGAAAGAGTTACACATTAGAAAGCTTTTTGAGACACAAAAAATTATTTTTTCTGTCAATGTGCATCTTTCTTAGAATATTTTTGACAGAAAAAAAAATTTTCTTTAAAATATTTCATTTAATGCAATTTAGTAATGCTGATTGCAAATGTTACAATATTTTGCTTTATAATCATATCATAGCAATAGAAATGTGTAAAAAATTTCTTTTTTTTTGTGTCTTCGAAGATTATAAATTATCAATATAAAGAAGACAGAAATGTGAACTTGATTCGCTTCAAACGAAAATAACGTTTATTTTTGAATCATTTGTCTAAAAAAATAGATTGTTGTATATAACATATTTAGAAATTCAATTTGAAACTTTAAAGAAATGTTACATTGATTTTGTAAATATGATTGAAGAAAAGAAGTCAATAAAAATGTTCATCGAATATCATTTATACTTTGAAAATATAGGATATAAAAGTAAGATTTAATATTGAAAATTTAAAGATCATATTTATAGAGTTTTAATCAAAGTAGATCATTAAATAATTGAATCAGATTGAGAAATATATATTTAAGTAATATAGATAGAATGTTCGTTCGATAGGCAAGAAACAGCTCAGTCAATTTTCTTTTATATAATTAATTTGTTAAGTATGTGAACATTTTTTTTATGAATTTGTTTCATATTCTATGCTAATTGAAATAATACTCAAGGTTAATTTTCTTTTCATTTAATTTATTTATCATATTTGACAATTATATCTTGTTTAGTATTACTTTAAAATATTCGAAACATTAGAAAGTTTCCTTTAATTAAAAAAATTTTTAGAAACAGCTCATAGGAGAAAACAACACTCTATTGGGAAATGTAATTCTTTATTGAAAAAAGTATCTGTGTATCACTTCAATGTTCCTTTTACAATGTACTCTGAAAAAAATATTCTTTTGGTAGTCTATACAAAAAAGAATCCTTAATAGAAGCAAATACAAAAGAAAAAAAAAACAAGTTAAAATTTATTCATGTCAAATATTCATACTTTTATCTAGTCTAAATTATTTTTTTTTATTTGAATAAAAAATTAAAAAAAAAAAAAACTTTATTGTTCATCTAAAGAAGTCTTTCCAAAATTAAATAGATGCAGAAGAATATATCTTAGTTGTTGTGCTAATCCAAGAAGTGTGTTTGGTAGTGTCTAGATGTAGTGTGTGAGTGTTGGCATGAAGTTTGAATATGGGTCGACGTAAGTGTAAAATTTGGCTAGATGTGAGTATGTGTATGAGCACGTATGCTCACCAAGACTGCCATTCACACTCACACCTTTTTGTGGTTGCCAAAAAGTATACATGCAAATATCATTATTGTGCATAGATATGTAAAAAGTCTTTTTTCATTCATAAGAAGTGAAGAAAGAAGTAAGCTGCTGTGTTTTGAGCATGATGAAAAGAGAACAATAAGTTCTTCTCTGTTCTGAACATTATCTTTGAGTGTTATATCAATGATGATTTATTTTTTCATGAATTTTAATGAGGCTGTGCATGTGGGAAAAGAGAACAACTAGACTCATATCTACACTCTTTCCTGTATAGCTAATCGTTCTACGCACAAATGAGATTGATAGATCGATATGAGAGTTGATAAACTGAAGAGAAAATTGGAAACTGTCTTTAGCTACAAAAACCAAAACTAAATAGTTTTCAAAATAGGAATTTTTTAAATGTTTAAAATCCAGTTTTCGATGCCAAAATCTGATTATTTTACAAAATTCTTGATCAATGTTAAAAACTTCATCTATTAACCCATTCAAATCTGTTCAATTGCAAAAAAAAACTTAATCAGCAAAGTGTCGCATTAGGTGGACAAAGTCGTTAATGATTTAATATCCATTCTAATTCATATTAGATGATTTGATCATGCAATACAGTATGGTTTTGAGTATATTAACAATTATCTTTCACAATGCTTCAATATGTATAAACTAACTACTCAAACACAGATGATCACTATTAATATACGTTCTGATCGACTTCGAGTAAAGTATAGTTGAGATAGTCTCAATAGCTGAAAAAAAACTAAGCACAGATAATGCAAATTTCAAGTGAAATGTTATTTGATCTAAGCATATGCCAAATGATAGAGCATGAAAAGTAAGTGAGTAATATATATTTTATTAAAATCTGGTCCTCTACATTTTAGGAAAAAGTCAATACCCAAAAAAAAGTTCGAAGGTGTGAAACACAATTTCTTCAAAAACTGTCAAGTTTTTTTTCCTCCGTTGCAGTCGAGTATTCTTTTAAAGAATATTTTCGAGTTCGGTAGTGAACACTGAAGTTAAAAAGAATGATGATAACTTCGATGAATTCATCTTGCTCTATTTTTATACATTTGTATTAGCAACAGAAAATAAGAATTCTTACAAAACCATTTTTATACAGTCTAGAGACAATATTTTGCTTTTAATAACTTATGACTAAATTTGCCTCATATTCAATGTTGCTCTTAATATAAAAGTATACTTTTAAGTCATCGTATTCAATTATGTATTTGTCATGAAGAGTTATAATATATTTCAATTTAAATATGAACATTAATAACATCATTATATTGTTTTTTTTTGATGTAAATAAAATCAATAAAAATTATTTCAATTTATATAAACACTAAAAATTTACTTGTGGATAATATTAATACACTATCAAGATCTAAACAATCTTTATACTCTTCTTAAGAATGTTCATTTATGTTTTTTTGTTTTTAATTATAGAAAGGAATAAAAATTAGATTCATTAGTTTTATGTAGATCATACATAAAAACGTGTTCAATAAGTTATTCAACTTTTTTTCCTATGCTTCGACTATTTTCTTCTTATAATGTTGCTACTTAACTAAGTATTCATGATGAATGTATTAGATTTTCAATTGAATTAGTTTGAAATGGCAAATTGTTAATTATTGATCATTGAATGTTTTTCGATTATTCAATGTCTTAATAAGAAATATTTACAAAGATATATTCAAAAACAAATCAATAAATGTTAAGTAAATTACTTATCTCATAAATCTAGGATACAATAAATTAAATATTCAATACAATTTTCGTAGTATTACATACAAATTATCAAACAATCAGTATAAAATTTATTGCTTCAATAATTTTTAGGCGTTGACGTAGATGCTTCTGTCTGAAAGACGGACAACCACGTCCTTAATGATAGAGTCTTTTGAAATTCATGACTGGGTAACATTCAACAATGAAATACAAGTCGATTGACATCTATATGTTTATTCAATATCAATTGAAATAGATTAGAAATAATATTTTTGGTACACAGATTTCTCTCTCACTTTCACTATGGTGCTGTGTACATGCATGCCAATATTACATTCTATTGATTATAACTTAGAACAAATTTTTCTTTTTAACGAGGATTTATTATTGTCGACATTTAGCTACTTTCCTGAAATAATATATGATATTAAGCTTCCTGTCAGAGAATGTAACATTTAATCTTCTATAAAATTCTATTGACAACTATTTTATAGATTACATTTTGTGACTGAATAAATGACACTTAGTTTTCCCTATTTTTCCAGCGCGCGCTTAAAGGCAATTTCACTATATTATCGAATGAAAAGCATTAAAAAAAAACAAATTTCTCAGATGTACACGATCGACAAAGTTTTTTTAATTATCAAGTAATATTTTTTTTTTTTGTACAAAATAATATATCATTAACAAAGATAATGGAGAATAAGTGTCATTTATTGAGTTAGAGAATGCATACTAGAAAACGTTTCTTTTTTTTAATTAATGGTCTATAGAGCTTAATGCTACATCTTCTAATAGAAAACTTTGAATCATATATTATTTTCTCAACTTTGATATTTATAAAATTGTTACAAAATAATATTATCTTAAAATAAGAAAAACACATGATTTGAAAACAAATATGATTAACTTATTTGTGTATTTTTATGAAAATATAAACGTTAAAGTATTTGATTTAAATATTCGTCTTACATTATGAATAATAATAGTTTTTATTTATTTATAATTATATTTAAAAATAGTTCTCGTAAATTCTTATAGTAAGATTTCTATCATTTACAACAACAAAAGAAAAAAAATGTTTCGATGACTTAAATATATATTTAATTGTTCGATTATTTTTAAGTTTATTCTTCTAAAAATACATTTATTTCAATATACGAAATATATAATAAAAAGCAAGAATCTATATACTAAAATAAAGAATATTACATTTAATGTTTCTTTCTATGAGAAATATTTAGAATAGATAAACTAAACTCCAAGACACTTTGTACAAAAAAGAAAATCATCAAAAGTTTTTCAATTAAAATGAACGATATACCATACGTCCATTGAGTGGCATTACAGGTCGAAAATTTTGACATAAATTTCCATTTATTGTATGATCACCTTTACATATATATTTTAATTGACGTAATTGATCAAACTTTAAATATAAGTAATTCAAAGTATTTTTTTTTTACTGATATTATTTTTATATTTACTTGACGTCTTGAAAGACCCATTTTTTCACGAAAAACTATCCAACGAACACTTTCATAACACATTGGTGTAGTTAATGAACCATCATATGTATAATAAGCTTGCATATCTTCTACAAAAATTAATTTTATAATTTAAAATTTTATAAAAATTAATATAATTTTACTTGGTATAAGATTTTTTAATGATATAGTTCCACTATTAAGATTTATTTTTTCATCTTTATAAGTAATTTTTGAAAGAAGATCAAATAATTTAATAAATTCTTCATTATCTGTTGGTATAATCTAAAAATATTATTTTCTTCTATAAGAAATAATTTTTCAATTTTTTTCTTTGTCCTCATACTTTAATCAATATACCAAAAACCATTAAACCATCAAATTGTTCTGATGAAGCAGCAGCTTGAGGTGTCTTATATCTACTTGTATTCCATGTTACAATATGTAACTATAAAAACAATAATATTATATATTTTAAGCTTGAATAAATTAAATATTAAACATTTCTCATCTTACTTCTCCCGGTAAACGAACACCATCAATAACATGTTCAGCACCTTCAAGATCATTTGTTCCCCAATGCATATGAAATTGTAAAAATTGATATTCATCCATAACAGGACCACCGGTAATATCTATTCGATATAAAAATAAAAAAGCAAATCAATATCTTGTTATTCGAATGATAAAATAATACTTACGACTGTAACCTTTACCAGTTACTTGAAATGAATGACCTGTATTTTCAAGTGTTTGACAACAATTTTCATCAACATCAAATATAAATGGATGTTGAAAAAGTTCGGGTTCATATTCACATTGTTCAGTATATATTCGAATAGGTGATTGAAATTTTTTGCATTGAATTTGTGGAAAAATTCTACCCCACATATGTGGTCCTAATTAAATAAAAAGAAAAAAAAAATTTAATTTAATTGGAAGTATTAAATAAACAAGTATGTCAAAGTGACTTCAAAAATAAAAGATAAGATTGTAATACAAATTACTTTTATTTTTGTATTTCATGTAAATTTAAACGATGATAATTATTGTCATCTCCTTCAAGCATTCACATGAAAAACACCTATATCTTTTTTTTTCTTCTCGTTTAATTAAGCACTTTGTATGGAAGAAAAAAAAAAAAGGATACTTTAGGGCCATATTTCAATAAAAAAAAACTCTTTTTTTTATCATTAGTCATAGCGTAAATACGAATTATTGAATTAAAAGAATTTATGTCACGATAGATTCAAAAATCTGATCTCTTTTCATATGAGAAAACAATCGAAATATTATATAGAATTACATCTTCAAAAATTTAAGATTATCTTTGTTTAAAATAACATGTATTATAATAAATCCTACTATGAGAAGAAGCACTATGTTATTTATGAATAATAAAAGACGAGAATTTTTTTATTAAGAAAAACTTTAGAAAAATAAAAACTATATATGTTATATTTTACTTTGTTTTATTGTTTGTTTTTTTTTTCAAAAATAAAATGATAACTATTTTCCAAAAAAAAAAAAAAAAAATTTTTTTTTATCTATTATCTTACCATAAGATAAAGAATAATCCCAATAATCTTGATTTTTAGTTGGTTTTTCTTCTACTTTATTTTTCTTTTCATAATCACCATTTTGAAAAGTAATTGATGGTGTTTGGCCAGATGTTGATAACATATTTTCTTTTTTATATTCATCTGTTGTTTTAGTTGATCGACGAATTTGTATTTCAATATCACCCATTTCAATTAATATTGATGTAAGAAGCAATGATTGTGATTGTGTCTATAATATTTATGTTATATGACAGTAACTATGTGTTTATAGATATATCTCAATTAACTTACTGTTGCTCCTTGTTTAAGATGAATGGCAATTCGATCATTACCAGATCCAACGACTATAGATTGAGTATCATCATCAACTATGTTTGTCATTCTTCTTTGCAAACAAACAAACAGTTTAGATCTTCTTAATCTATTTTGTTTTTTGTTTCTACAGCTACAAGTACATATCTATATATAGGCAGACAAACAGAGAGCAGATCTTGCTCTCATTGATATTTCTCTCTTATTGTCAGAGAGATTTTTTTTTTCTTTATGATTATTAAGATGCGTGCCACCTTTATATTGTCCGGAATGATGAAAGAGAGATAGAAAATAAAAGAACGAGGAAAATAGGGAGGAACAGTGAAAGAGATAGAAAACATCAAAACATGCAGACTTCCGATATTTTCACGCATACTATTGATCAACTAATTATTTTGGTGAAGTGATAAGAAATAAAATAGAAAAAGAGGAAAGTCGATTATCGTCAAGCACTTATTTTTACACCTTTTACATTGATAGAAACGGAAACTAAATGCCATGAATAGTTGGTCGACAAAACATGTTTATTAAGAGAGATATAACATATAAATTGATAATGTTTTGCCTTTTTCATTTTATGTGTCTATGATATTTCATGTAAAACATTTTTAATAAAAAGAAGAAGAAAACAAAAACAAAAACAAAAAGATCACTGTTTATTTTCAAAATATTATTATATGTCATAGATATGTAGTTTATTTTTCTAAGTTGTATTTTTCCAATAGAAAGAAGAAAACCAGAATTTCTGTTTATATAAATAATTTAATAAAAGAATATTTGATTACATCGTTATATATACACAATAGATCAAAAAGAATTTTCTATATCGATTAAAATTAATAATATATAAATCGTAAATATTTTAAATTAATCTTAATCATAAAATTTCAAAAATACAAAAGAACGAAAATTAATATGATTATTGTTATATGATAAGTTTAGTTTTCTTTTTTTTTTTTTTAATACAGGAAACAACATCAAGGACGATTGTATATTTTAATATGTCATATTTTTCAATTCATCAAACGGAAAGATTACACACTTATGTTTTATTATCTTTCAAATAAAATGCTTTATAGAAGAAAACAAAAAAACAAAGAATTTTTAATGAATTCAAATATTCAAAAATAAATAAATAAAAAAACAAGGTCCAATCTTTGTTTTTCATTTAATCATATTGTTGTTGGTCAATCAATTCTATAGAATTATTTTTATAATAAAATATAACTGAAAAACAAATAATATGTTACAAACAACATTTAACTGCTTTTTTTTTCTCCTGAAAAAAATATGTACTTAGTCTATTTCATTGTTGGAAAATGGAATTAGTAATAAGAGAACTATGTATGTTATTGTTGTGATCAAAAATCAACCAGCAACCACAACATAAAACGAACATCATCTGTAAACTGGTAAAAATGTAGCACAACATAAAAAAAATTAATAATTTTATTTTAGATTAATATAATGGCTAACAAACAAATTGAAGAACAGCTTATGTCAGCTCGATCAGAAATTATATTTTCTAATCATGAAAAAAGTTGGTTATTTTCTTTTTAAGACTATAGAATATTATATTATTGATTCTAATTTAGTTGATAAAAAGAGAACTTGTCATTCTCCACTTAAAAGTCCAGAACTTATACGGACTCATTCTCGACGTTCAGCTCGTTCAGCAGGTAATATTCCGTTTTTTTTTTTATTCTGAATAAATTAAATTTTATCTAATCTTTCTTTGAAAGCACCAAATTGCTGTGCATGTTGTAAAATTCCATTATTAACTGATCTTAATGAACGTGAATCATTAAATAAATCTCGTGCTTCAGTATATATATCTAACTTAAAATAAAATCTTATCTATATATGTAAATTTATTTAAAATCTAGAGTCCACTTCGATCTGAACGTTTATGTCAAGAATGTAGTCAAGAAAAAGTTGAAAATCGACGTACTCCATCAAGTCGTTTATTAAGATCAGCTTCTGTTAATTGGTCAAATATGGGTGGAAAAATTGGTAAAATTTTTTAGAAAAAAACACGTTTTTTTTTCTATTCATTTTCTTTTAATTTATATATTTTTAGAAACATGGTTTGAAAAGGCACCAACACCAGGTATTCTATTTATTATGAATTAAAAAGAAATTATAAAAAAAAAAAAAGTTCCATTGACATATTAAAAGAAAAAATTTTAATGTTTCTAACAATGAACTTTTCCTTTTGTCTTCAAAAAAACAAAAGTAACATGATTTCTTGTTTCAGAATACTGTTTTTTTTTAAATATTGAAAGGTTCTTTTATTATCAATGTTTTTATATTAGAAATATATAAATACATATATGAAAGCTATAAAAAAGAAAAAACAAGACAATGAGTGTAAATCGTTCATATAAATAAAAAAAAAGGGCAACACATGTAGATGTTGTTCTAATATGAACAAAGCAATTCTAAGACTCTTGAAGAAGAAAAAGTCAGGAATACATATGTTATAGTTCTCATTTTATAAGATTTAGTTATAGGTCGATTATATAAATTGATGAAATATATCATCTATTAAAGTTCTTATCTTAAGAATAGATAATTGAGCACGTATGATAAAATTGAATTTTCTTCTTATATTTGATCTGTATTAATAAATGAAATTACGATTAGAGATAAACAATTTATTTCTTGATAAATCTAACAATGATACATGCTTAACTTCGAAAAATATTATTAATATTTCGATCTTTTTCTTTATCTTTCATTATATTCTAATTAAGAAGAAAAAAAACAATGATATACTAACCATATTTTATCATTATTATCTAAGAACATTAGGGTAAAAATTTGTTTTCCAAACGTGCTGTTATTATTGACAAAGATAAACACAAGAGAGAAAGCTAATAGGTTGGTCAATCTATTAAATATGATAACTATGATTGTTGTTGTTGTTGTTAGCAGTAGAGTAGTCGCTTTGATAAAACGTTTCTAAAAGAATTGTGCATTAGATAAATACAGATATAAAAACATGTTTTTATATTTTGTTTAATCTCATTTGTTAGTTCCTACCTGATTATAAATTTAACAAATACAATAAGAAAATAAATCAGATTGTAATTTGTTCTACTTTTTATATTCTACGTTGTTCTCATTACTGGTTTCTTCTTTTTTTGCTTTCCGATTTCTTTTATATTTGTATAGTAGGTTCAGGCAGTCTTGTTAGTGAAGAGCTTGTTAATATGATTTGAGTAGCTGAATTATATATATATATAAGAACAACACAATAATGATGTTATCATAGAATAAGAATATGAGAGATTCAGGAAAAAGTTTTTACGTTTTTTTTTTCTTCTTTTACTTTGATCTAATTTCGAAAAACTAATGTTAAGTATTTAAATATATGATTTCTATCATTTCACACAATTGTTAACATTATCATCAATGAATACACTACATATGGTATTGTATAGCTCAGAGCAATAAGTGCAAAACTGAAGAAAGAACAAACAAGAAAGTGTAGATCGATAATGGTGCAAAGCTAGCATACCCTAATGTTGATCGTCAGACTGCAAAGTCGACGCTTTGCTTCTTATATCTATATCTTTCTCGCTTTTTTTTCTTCCTTTTTTTTTATGCTATCATTTCTATTTGGCTTCATCATCTTTTTTTTTTGTTTTTGAAGTAGATAAATATAGTTATATGTCTTTTGTCGATCTTTTCCTATTGAGCATCAGTCACTTTTTATTGTTCCTATGCATAACTTAAATTAATCAACGATTTACATATATTGAAAACAATAAAGAATTTTGAAATATCCATTCTATAGGAATATAATAATCGGTTTCTATTCATAATCATTTTTTTCCCATTGCTTGTCTATCTGAGAATTCCATTGAGAATCCAAGAATTGTTTTGTTTTTCTACGTGCATATATTTCAAGACAAATAAATCAATTGATTAATCGGAAATGATTACGTATATATATATATCTATATATTTTTGATAGTATATAATATTAAGTACATATAATGATTATATTGTATGATATGTTATATTAAAAATTTTGAATATAAATATTTCTTATCTGTATATAAATATATATAAATGTACACATATAAAATTATTTATTTATCTAGATCAAAAAGTTGTCTACAATTTTTTGGAAAAAATTAATAATGAAGAAAATAAACAAGATCAAAAATCAACTGAAGCAACAAATGCAAAAAATCTTGATGATGTACTTAATTGTTTAAAAAAGTAATTTAAAACAAAAAAATAGTGATTTGTATAGAATATGTTATTTCTAATAATAATTGTTGAAGATAAAAATTTATTATTATTAGTTTGATAAGAATAAAACCTTCAAGAAATCAAAAATCATATTTTCTTTCTAGTCAAATTTATTAAATAAAATTCTACTTGAATTACTCATAATAATATAATAAATTATTCTCCAAAAAAAGAAAAAAATGAAATGTCTACTAGATCTTTTACGATGTTTTTTAAGACTCAGACACATTAATCTTCTAGAAGGCACTAAACTCATTATTTCTCTTGTTTTGTAGAGAAAACATCATTTTTGTGCTGTCAATAAGATTGATGTATCCCAATCAGATAACATCATACAGAGATAGAAGGCATTTCATATTTGAAGAGAATCATTTAGTTCATTATTAAAGCAAAATTCTAGTTAGAAATAATATTCTCTACAAAAAAAAAAAAACATAATTTAAATTGTTATTTTACATTGAGATAATGATCAAAAAGAAGTTAAAATTAAATCTAATCGAATGATTTCGGGGAATCATTATATGTGTACTAGGTGACCTAACATAGTCAACTTACCGAGAAACAATTGAATATGTCTAGTGAACAGGCTGATTTTCTTTTTTGACTAATAATAAAGACCAGAGTAGAATAAGCTTTGTTGAAGTATCACTTACAGCTTCAACAAAAATATATTATTACTTATTGTCTATTAACAGAATAATAATATACGAAGAAGATGAGTCAATTTGTTAAGATAGAATGTAAATAACAAATAAACTTTTTACTGGCATACGTTATTCATTAACATAACTTTTTTCTTATTATGTTTCTCTCTTGTGGATTCTACTTTAGTCCATATAGAATAGTTTATGCTATATAAATATGTTTTCTTTATACGCTATTGACCATATTTGTACAAAATTTGTCTACGTTTATTTTGTGTATTTTCATTAAATATTGTTTTTTATTTTCTACAAATATGTATTCAATGTATAATTCTATTTGACGGTTCAAGTATTAATAGATGTGTAGAGATAATCGAAGAAAACAAAAAAGAACATCCAAGGACAAAAAACAAAAAAACAAAACTACTAAACAGATGTTATATAACTAACAGCATAGGAAGAGAAAACACTTATATCACCCGGGTTATCTGTGCAATGGAAAGAAACAACAATTATTCGAGCAATAAATAGGCACTATGACATTAACCGTTATGTCAAATTGGATGCATTCTTAAAAGAAGAGTAATCCCTAATTCACTTTCCACAAACATCAATTTTCAGATATATGATTGAATTATATACATAGCACCATTCGAGCATTAGAATAGTATGTGAAAAATGTTGATTTACTCTTGGAATAGAATCCTAGATAATCTTTTTGATAAATGTTTATTGAATGTTGACATTCATATTTTAAATTTAACAAAAAATAGATTCATTATCGAATAATAAAAACTCTAGCAGAGAAAGAAAAGTTAAATTACTTTTCAATATATTGATTAATTTTGCATTACAACTAATTATCATAGACTTCTCATATGGACAATATTTGAACGCAAGAAGACAAAATAATAAGAACAATATAAATACATTTTTTTTTGACTTGTCTTTATCATTGTTTGTTTCTTATCTATGAAAAGATCGAACATTTTTCTTTTTTGTTAAAACCAATTCGTTTGATTCGAGTCAAAACAAAAATATTCAATTTCTTTTTCAATCAAATGACTTTTAGGCTACTCGATGTATATCCGTTTTTTTTTTTTTTTTGAAAAATATTATTTAAATAGATATCAAACACGTTTTAATTCACCACGTTCACGAAGTAAATTTACACGTGCATTTGAATCATCAAGTTGGCGTGTTATGCGTCATCCAACAGCATCTTATCAATTTAGTCGTTATAATGCTGCTTATGGTGATGAAGCTTCACGTGATTTATATCTTGGTTCAATATTTACACCAACAAGTCCAAGAGTTCGTTCTACATTTTTAATACATCCGAGTTGGGTTTAAAAAACAAAATTTTTCAAATAATATTATTTATATATGAAGAAAAACAAACAGACATTTTAAATATAAATTTTAGAAAAAAAAACAAAAAAAAAGAAAATTGTTATAAATTATAATTAATAGGAAAAAAAAATTATATAATATTCATTTGTATTTTTTTTTGATCAAAATTAAAGAATATAAAATAAAAATATTTATTTATATTTTTAAAAATTATAAATTAAATTCGAAGAATTAGTTAATAATATATCTGTACCAGAATTATCAATTGTGGGTACTTTGAAATGTTTATTGTCAAAAATATCGTCATGCCATCTAATGTACCGTTGACATTATCTCCTGTCACAGCCAGATGTGTTGATGAAAATAAATCGTCGTAAAAAAATAACAATACTATTATCATATGATGAATTAATGTCTACTTAGAAAAAGAAATATTTTTTTATATTTAACAAAAACAATCCTCATTAGAAATAAATTAAACATGATTTTGTTTGAAATTATTCAAAAACGAATGAATCAATTCAACCAAAGAAAAAAAAACAAAAAGAATAATAACATTTTCAACTTAATAATCGGTCAGATTCTTTTAATATATTTACTATCGAATGCATATCGACATAATATGAACAAATAAATATGTATATTATCCAAGAAAGATGATGACATATTTTCAATTTATATTATACACATATAAGATATAATATTTCAAAAAAAGAAATCATTTAAATGAATATATTTGATTAATATCAATTGTTTTCAACGAAAAGAAATTTCTATTTGAAATGATTGAAAAAAAAATAAATCGACATGTACTTAATTTTTGTTCATAATGACTAAATATCAATTTCAACATAGAAGAGTTCTGAGTATTTTTTGAATAACTTTTGATAGGAACGAGATAGAGAGCTGCGGTTTTCACTATTCGAAAGAGTGTTTTTTTTTATAGACATCTTCTGATCAACACTTTTTCCTTTGCGTATTTTCACAATAATCTCAACTCAAATCATGTCAAAGTGTAGCTCGAATCACACTTTTTTGGCTATAAAATTATCATAATTTTTATTATCTCTTAACCTCTTATTATATGTGGATTTAAAACAACAAATATCAATTTTATAGCGAAAAAATTGTGATTCAAGCTATATTTTGACATAATTTGAGTTGAGATTATTGTGAAAATACGCCAAGGAAAAAAGTGTTGATGAGAAGATGTCTATAAAAAAAAAACATCTTTTGTCTTAATGAATTCTATACCAGTCGATGGCTCGGACATCGCTCTTTCGAATAGTGAAAACCGCAACTCTCTATCTCGTACCTATCAAAAGTTATTCAAAAAATACTCAGAACTCTTCTATTTTGAAATGGATATTAAATCTCTCGAAGAAATGTCTGAAAAATTAAAAGTAATAAATAGTGACAATTAACTGTTTTAGAAATATTGATAGACATTTGACATTATAGAATATTCTAAAAATCAAGGTTATAAAAGAAATTCAAAAATATCTAATCAAATTAGATAAACAACTCATTGAGTTGTTTACTCAGTAGTATTTCGATAGATTGTGTGCAAATTGAAATGAAACTGTCACGCACATAATCAAAATTGATTGAAGATTATTTTTTTTAGCATTATATATTTGTGTCATCTTAAAAAGAACCATTTTTAATAATATTTCTTTTTGTGATGAATATTAAAATAGACTTTATAAGTGCAAATGATAATATATAAAATATTTTTTGTCAAGTTTATTTAATAAAAATCAAAATTGATATGTATTATTTACAACCAATAGTAAGAGTTCTTAACGAGTTTGCATGATTAATAATCACAGTAATCACTTTGAAGTATTTTTATTTCTTTTTTTGATATGTGTATAATCTTTGTTACAATAAAGAATTAGAATTTTATAAAGTACTTCATGACTTTTTTTTTTCTACGATATATCTACTTACATTAACAAGACACAAAAATTACTTGTCTACATGAAATTATATGTTGATAAGTAAGAATTCTTACATCAATAAATTTATTAATAAATCTTATATGTAATCTATATCAAGATAGATACGCTAAATATTTAAAAGGATGTACCTATAACCTGTTATATATTATTTAATATGATAAGTCATTTTACTTATAAAACTATTTTTATAAAATTTGTTCATTTTTCTTAGAATCAATAATTAAAATGTACTGTACAAGAAATAAATACAATTCTTTTGAGAATATATATATATATATATGTTATAACTTAAAACAAAAACTCAACAATAAATAAAAAAGAAACATGTTTATAATTTATATATATCATCTTGTTTCAATTGGACCAAAAGATAATTTTCGATGTGGTGATGAAAGATTTCGAATAAGTTGTTCGATTTTAATATTATTTATATGTGTTGGAGGTAATGTATGTCGATAAATTTCGGCTGCCTTTTCATAACATAATAATGCTTTTTGACGTTCACCTTTCAAAGCATGAACAATACCAATATTTCCTAATGCTTTAGCAATATTTGGATGATTCAGTGAATAACATTTTTGTAAAATTTTAAACGATAAATTATAATGTTCTAATGCTAAATCATATTGTCCAAGTTGTCTATATGTACTTGCAATATTACAATGTGTTTTACTTATATCAAAATCATCATTTGAAACATATTTTTCTAATATAATTAATGTTTTTTTAAAACATTCTAAAGCTAATAAATAATTATTTTCATTTTTATATATAATTCCAATATTATTCATACATTCAGCTATATTTAAATAATAATCATCAATAGATTGTTTCCATATAATAATTGCTTTATCATAAGATTCAAGTGCTAATTTAATATCATTTTTTTGATTATATACATGACCCATACTATAATAAATACGTGCAAAAAGTATATCATTTGATTTTAATGTTCGTAATGATATATCAAGTGATTTTAATAACCATTCAAGACTTAAATGATAATTATTTTGAATAAATTCTATATTACCAAGATTAAGAAGACAATATGGAATACGTTCATCTTCTTCCGATAATTCATTTAATAAACGAGAATAATATTTTTTTGCTTCATCTAATTTATTCATTTTTTGTAATATACAACCAAATGATAATAGATCTATTTCATCATCATTTTCATTATTATCATTTATATAATTTTTAAATATAGATTTTAAATATGAATTTGTTCTACTAGATAATATCATTTCAATAATCCATAAATTATTTTCATTTTGATAAATATTTTTTATTTGAAATATAGATCCTAACATGAATAATATTTCCTCTTCATTATTATTATGAAAAAATTTTTGTAATGTTATATAAGAAAATGGTTTTATTTTATCAAGATTAGATTCACCTGTAATTTCGAATAAAACAGATTGAAAATCATTATTATTATTATTATTTAATGATATTTTAGATGAAGAAAGTGCTAATTCACGATTAAGTTTTGTTAAAAGAAAATTATTTATTGATATAAATTGTCCAATTGAATTTTTCAATAATTCTAATTCTTTATTTGATAATAATTCAAATCTATAAACTTTAATTGGTGTTAAACAAAGATCTTGTTTTAATTGTTGTTCAATATCATGAATAAAAAATCGAAGAAGAAAAATTAACTCAATATTTTGTGTTCTTAAAGCTTTATTTAATATTTGAGATATAAATGTATCTCTTGTAAACCACCATATAGCAGAATTAGATGTATAATTTTTTTGAAATTCATGTAAAATATTTAATAGATATTTATTTCCTTTATATTGATTTCGACATAATATTATAAAATTATTCATATCATTTGGCATTGGTTCTAATTGAAGTAAAATATCAATAAAAATTTGAGAATATATAAATTTATCATTGAAATCATTTAATTTATCAATATGAAAAATATCAAATAGAATTTTATTATTAATATATTTATATTTTAATTGATCAAATTCAATTTGTTTAATAAGTTCATCATAATTTAAACAAATAGAATTAATCTAAAACTAAATATATTATCTTTTTTTTAAATAAATCATTTATATTTATTTATACCTTATTATATTGATTAATCCATTGTTGATCAATATTAATTTTATTTGAAGAATAAATATAGATTGAAAATATTTGTTGTAAATTATGTGTATATGAAATAAATTTTTCTTCAATTTGATCATTTATAATAAGTATAATATATTCATCTTCTGACATTTGTTTAATATATTCTTCACAATCATTTTCATTTTCAAATATTTTTATATCATTTATTATTGTACGAAGTTGTTGTTGTTGTTGAGGAGAAATAATTTTTTTTGATTTTTTTATTCTATTATCAAGCCAAACAACTGTATAAATGTCAAGATGTTTATCATGATTTAAAGATTGTTCAATTGTTAAACTGTTTGAACTATGGCATAAACCCATATTCGATTATTTTTTTAGATCAAGCACAATTTATTTGACGCAAATAAGTGTCCGATGATCATTCATTAGAACGAATCGAAAGAAGAAAAAAAAAAATAAAAAGAAACGAGTTACATAATTATTCAAACTAAGCAATCACAACGATTCGTTCTCTTCATTTTTTATTATTATTATAGATATGACAAATAACGAGAAATAATTGATTTTTGATAAGAAGGTCACGCATTTATATGCACGCATATTAAATATGTATATTCAAAATATATTCGATATGAAACTAACATCAAACTATAGTATACATTTATATTTAGCTCAAATTATGTTTATTAATGATGTCGTTTTTTTTTTCTGCTTGCATAATGACGCAAATAAACGATTGCTTATTTATATATACATATATATCGCATAATCCAAAAAAACAAAAAAAAAACAAATATATATACGATGATTGTTGAAATTTGCATTGAGTATCTCGACTACGTCATTTGATTTACAATCCTGAAATATTGACATAATGAAATATGAATAATAGGAGCTTTAAAAAAGAAACAATCAGATAGATACGAAGAATGTTTA